GCCCCACCCCACTCCCAGCACCACTACTCTCCCAATCAGGTACCCAGCGTGTGGTGTTTGTTCCAAATCAGGGTTGGTTACACTTAAAGGAGGGGCTTGTTGCTTCATGGATTATCCCAAACATGAAAATGCTGGACTGCTTCTCATTGCATCATTTTCTCTTCCCCTGCATCCCTCATGCCTTGCTTTGAATGATTTCAGGCTGCTTGGGGCAGTGTCACTATTAAAAACAATCCACACGAGTCTGTCATCAGCATAGCGATTATTTATGCCAGATGCTGTCAACGTAATTCAGTCTTTTTAGGATTTTTATCCAGTAGATCTGCTTATACACCCACAAAGCTGCCTTTATAATCTGACAATCTTTTGAAGTTTTCAGGGTTTGTCTTGCCTCCACACTCTGTTCTCACAATATTCACCTGCTTTGAACAAGTTAGTACTTTGTTCCCATCTGTCTAATCTAAATTTAGTAATACTCGAAAAGAAAACTGGGAGTACCACACTTGGGGAAGCAAAAGTAGGCTTCAGGAGACCGTTGGGAAATCCTAGGGATCTGACATGAAGCCTCTAAATAACTTGTTCATTGTAAAGATTTGAAATGGACCCCTAGTAAACCAATCTTCATGAAATAAGAGAGGCAGTCACATTTAACTCAAATGACAGTGCTGTAAAATGTTTATGGTCCTTGAAGCAAACTACCATTGTAGAGTCTATGGCAATGTCTTTTGTAAATATTGTAATAAAATAGCCATTATCAGTTCAAACTCAGAAAGGAAACATGATTTCGTAATGCATGAAACCAAGCAGAATTTCGCTACCCAAAGGGTGTTGCGTTGTGCTGCGCTTTCTTCACGATAGAAGAGAAAGGAGGAGAGAGCAAAAAGATGGCCAATTTCTAATTTGTTTATTCCAGGATTTAGTGTATTAGTTCCTATTCTAATCACACCAAACATCAAGTGGTGGAAGTGTCAGGTCAGGCAGAGGGAAAATTATGGCAGGATGAAACTGATTTCTTCAGTAGCCTTGAAATGGCATTTTGGGGAGTGACAGAACTTGGAGAAAGGAAACAGAAAACAAAAAAAGCAAACCCACAGTGCCTGACTTGCATTGTTCTTAGCAAGGCGTTCAGCAGAATTCTCTGAGGCACAAAATGATGAATGGAAAATTTCTTGGGGTATGCTGTGTTTAATTGATTGTAGTCACATTGTATTCATTTAGCACATATTGAGCAATGACCCTTTCTATCCTTAAGGTAAGAGGCAGTTGTGTGGGCTTGCATCTCTTTGCATACAAAATATTTACTTTACAAATGGGGAAATGATTTGTATCAACTGTTTCAGTGCATTGTTATTTTGGGGGAAGTTGCAGTCGAAGTAGTCCAGTGCTGGGTGAAATTTACCTTGTTGCAATAACGTTGAACTTTGAATGTCAGGGTCTATGGGGATTACTTTTTTTCCAAAGTAAACATGTCAAGTCTATCCTTTCAACCTAGAAGGATAAACTCAGGAGAAATCCTGTGTGATACAACACATTTCTTTAGAACCATTATTAATCTTTTATAGCCAAAAATCTTATAAAAAATGGTGCTACCACAGTCCCAGATTCCTGTATATGTCCTAATCACTGCTCTGGGGGTTATACAGCTCAGCAGAAACACTTGCACTGTTTGTGAAGGTTTTGAAATCAAAGAGTATAAGTAATGTGGGTTGATTATTTGGCTAGCTGTTGCATTCCTCCAGCATTCCCCCAAAGACCTGTAAAGTACATATAGGAAGACAGTTACCCAGGGCAGCTATACACATTTACCCCACATACTTAAATGTGTCGTACTGCTCTACATATGTTACTCTCCAGACTAGAACAGTGCAGCCATATTTGCTTCCCTGTAGCAAATACTATGCAAATACAGTCACGTTGCTTGCAGTTGGGGGTTTGAGCCATACGGTGTGCCTGAGCCATACGCTGAGCATGAGCATGCTACTGGCATAGTAAGCTTGCAGTCTAGACACGTCCTAAGTGACGTTCCCAAGGCTATACTGCAAGGAAGCAGCAGCCCAGGATTCAAACTAGTTTTCTGTTCAGTTTACTAAACTGCTGTACTGATCACATGCCTAAAAATCTCTGATTGACTTGTCTCGCATTAGAAATGTGCATGTTTCTTTGGAAATTGAAGGCCATATTAACAGGCAATTTTTATCTCTCGTTTCAGGGTGTCAGTAACATACCATGTCCCTTAACGGCCGTCAGAACTTTGCCCACTTTAGAAGTTAAACAGTCGGAAAGGCCTTCAAGCAGAAGCAAAGATCCTCCTAGAGATGATGAAAAGGAAAAGAAGAAAAAGAAACACAAGAAAAGATCTCGGACAAGATCCCGATCACCTTCCAAGTATCATTCGTCATCTAAATCTAGATCAGGATCACATTCAAAAGCAAAGCATTCACTTCCCACTGCCTATAGAACTGTGAGGCACTCAAGGTGGGTTTGGAAGCCAAACATATTCTTTACCATTCTATTTGAGTTAACATTTTAATTTCTCTTCTGCACCTAATTATGCACATTGCAAGGAAAATGGCCGTCTGCCCAAGGGAGATAAGCAAGCTGGAAGACTCAGTAAATGTACAGAATCAGATATGAAGAATGTCTTCTGAAAGATCACATTTAAATATTTGATAAATGTTGAAGCTACTAATTACATAATGGGAGAGTGAATGCATTAAGCGATGCTTCAATTGGTCAGTGAACTGCTTGCCGGAGCTCTGCACAAATGTAACCAGCTAGCATGGCTCCACCTTGTTTCCCGCTACTTCTACAGGTGGCCTAAGTCTTCATTCCAAAGGAGAGCAAGAACACCTGGAAAAGCAGCTGGAATCAGAGGAATCCACACAGTCACCACTGTTTTGGTTGCTGCTACATAGGAAGAAGAAATACGAGCTGTCCTTGGTGACCAAGAGGCACCGACAGGACAAACTGCAAGCAGAGGAGCTGCCAGTCAGACCTGGCGCTGGTAGTGGGATAGAGATGGAGATCAGAAACTTAAGTGACAGGGCATTGTTACTGAGCAAAAGATGGGAAAGAACTGGAGCAGAGAAAGGAATTAGAAAGATATAGGAGACCATGTGATGAGGGTTTGAGGAGCGGGGCACACAGAAGAAGCATGAGTGGAAATCAGTTGACTCAAATTTAATTATAAATAAGTAGATATTTAATTATGGTAACATTAATGCTATGAAATTGATTAAAGGCCAAAGCCTTTAGGAGAATTGGTACCTTAATTCACTGAAGTCAGTTAAAAGTACAGATACTTTTCTGTTTATGTTACCCAATGATCATTTGATACTGTCAGCTCAGGGTTGTTGCACAATTGCAAAGGGGGAGAGGAGAGTTGTGGTTCTTGCTATAAAAGAAGCGCCCAAACCTTGAGTTCTTTGAGTGCTAGATGACAGATTCTGTTCTTTGGGTGTCTGTGCCCCCTGCATGTATTCAGATTTGGTGTCCAGCAGGGCCATGTCTGCACCATCTTAATCCTACCTAAGCAACAGAGCAGGCCCAGCTGACCCTCAGTTCTACATCCTGTGGCTGTGAGAAACCCCTGTCAGTCCCTGCTTCTCTTGTCCACTGTGTAATTTAACACTGTTTAGTGTTAGTAGTAGTGTGCTTAGTTTTCTTTGTCTGTTGGCATACATATATTTAAAATATCATAGATCTGTAGGTCACTTAAGTTTTTTTGCTAGAAAACACCCTCTCCCCTGTGTTAAGTGTACTATTCTGGAGCAGAGACTAAGTTATCAGGAGTTAAGATACATCACTCATGGGTCTAATCGATGGTTGGCACTCGTGGAAGGGTGCATTCCAAAACGTTCTATGTGCCATTTCTTCTCAAGGCTTACCTGGAGAGGGAAAGCGATGATGCTGAAGCTTTTCCTCAGGCTCTGGGAATTGTTCAGAGAAACCTCAGCACGCAAATCAGTCCATCTCCCTCAGCACCTTGTTGAGCCATCAGCACCTACCAAGAGGCCTATTTGTCATCATGACTTGCTCTTGGCTCAGAGATAGGCCCTTGTTGGTACTTCTACATGAATCTCTAAAGGCAGTTCATAGTACTTTTTAAGGCTAGGGACAATGCTGCCTCTTGCATTAACTTGGTACTTGCTGCAGTACAGGGTACTTGAAAATGTCATGTCTTACTGTCCTCTGAACAGTGATAGTATATAAAACATTGCTACAGACCACAGATACACCTGAAGCCTAAATACCAACCTGTTTTTTCACTAAAGTAATAAGCAGTGTTAAGCAGTCATGGTAGGCCTAATAGTAGAGTTTCCATCAATAGAGACTTGAGGAAACTCATATAAAATCCTACAGCAAAGACCAAGAAGCAATCTTTGTGAACTCCAGCCAAACTGTAGAGCTTATTTGTATTAGACTCTAGATCTTTCCCCATGAAGCTTTCAGACCAAAGTGGATCTTGTCACTCAACTGCAAGCCCATCTAAGAATACGAATGAGAATGTGTAGGTGATGTGACACACGTCCTAGGAATTGCAATCCACCAGACTTCACCTTAATTCATGGAAAGATGGTTGAGATCAGCATATGTATCTCACTTCAGTTCTGCAACAAAATTTCCTTTTCCAGACCTCGCCTCCAGAGAGGTGGTAGCAAGACCCCTTGGTTCAGGGTTGGGTCATCCTAATCAGCTGAAAGTTCAGGAGTTGTAGTCTTGTCAGGACACAAGCCTACACATAAACAAAGAGACCCAGGACAATTTACCAGGTATTCAAGGGTTTTTTTAACCTGTTCTTAAGGGATCGGCAATTCATAGTAGAGAATACCATACTATTATCTATTTCAGTATGCAAGGGAGTGAACAGTGCATTCTGGACTAGATCGTGCTAGCAGTTCTTTATCTACTTGATTTTTCCAGCAGCCCACCAGACTACATCAGCATAGATTTTTTTTT